CATTCCCCCTGGTACCCAGAGAATGTCTTCATCTTACAGTTAAAGTTGGAGAGATGAACTTTTTCCCTGCTTTCATATAAGAACAAGAATTGAAACTCTAATTAATAACTTGAAAAATATTGCCTTCTTCCTGGTTACAAGGTATCCATAAACAGCTGCCAGCTTTCCCAGATTTATCTGTGGCTTGAAGCTATTTCCATTGGATTTCTCAAACACTACTTGAGATGACTACTCATGAGAAGCTCATTGCAAGTAGCCATTCTTCTACCTGACAGCATTTTGCAAGTGAAACATTAGAAGGGACTTGAGCAGCTGGAGAGCCACATTTTAATAATTTCAGATAATTTACTGGTACCAAATTTGCCCAACTCCTCCTGGTGAAATATAACAAAACCAGAAATTTTTCAATTACTTATTTTGTCGAATTAAAAAGTTGAAGCTTAACATTGGAAATGTCTTTTGAAATGTATTCACTCTTCTATCCTCCAAAATAATACTTTACATGGCAGAGTGAAAAGTTCCATTTGATTTTACTATTTCTTTAACCTTTTGGGGAAGGGAAAGGAGGCCTCAGGAATTCACCTCAGTTCTTCCTTGATATAAGCTTTTGCCAACAAGCAACAGAAATCAGTTATTTGCATAAACAGCCAAATCCTGGGGTGAGGTGGTTCTTTTTTCTTTTTTTTTTTCCTTTAATGTTAAGAATAGACTGAAGCTTGCTTTTGAGCCTCTGAGGAAGAAAAAGACAGGAAAGAGCACAAAATTGTTCTAGAAAATGTTTGAAACTGGGGCTTGGTTTTTTGCCCTAACTCAAAAGCTGATGAGTGCTAGTGCACATTTCTCTCACGTGGTTTTGAGTTACATCCCTGCTATTCCTGTGGTTACATCATGTTTACCCATAGCGTCTAAAAATTACTGTAGGAATATATAGAAGACTGGTTTCTTCCATTCTAGTCAGGATGGTCTAGTCATTTTCCATCTAAAAGATGGAAAATGCTAATCATGCCTCAATACAGTGCAACAGGACCAGAGCTGCATGGCTAAACCTACCTCCAACCTGAAGAGGGAGGAAGGTGTAAATCTCTGTCCTGTCAGGGACGGGACTCCTGAACATTCACCAACACACTGATCCATTTTCTGTATAACAGTTGGACCACAAGGGAAAGGAAATAAATACATTTGTAAGTTACCCATGGCTTTTAGTGGTCAACCTAAGATATGGCAGCCTGGCTATTCAGAGGTTTATCCGACCATGCTGCTGAACTCAACTGTAGTAGGTTCACCTGCATCTCTGTCAGTGTCCCCAGACACCTATCAAAATTACTGGTTAGTATTGAAATTTCATGTCTACATGAAATGCTTTAGAAAAGTGGTAGATACACAGTAGGAATAATATCTCATTATTAGTATTAAACTACACCTACAGTTACATGCAGACTCTATACTTTTTGTCTCCTAAGAGTGTAATGCTGTAGATCACATCAAGTAATAAAACAAAGCTACTGTCAAGAAATGTCTGACTTTAATTAAAATTCAATTCCATTATCCGACAGCTCCAGGCAATGACACTGTAGGGAGATGATGCAGGCAGGATGCCCACCCTCACTGCACGCTAGGCCATTTTCTGTGATGACCCATGTCCTGCACGAGACTTCTCCTGACCATTGGGCATTGACACTGAGCCACTAGCAGTTTCTCTCCAGGATGGGAAAGATAGTGCAGTCTGCGTAATATTTCATTTCTGTCTCCAAAAAAAAAACATTCTAGAAATCAGGGAGGAAATGACACAGAGAGGGGGAGAGTAAGAGGACCTACTTGGCAACCTGGCCTAATGGAAGATGCCCCTGGACATGGCAGAGGGGTTGGAACTAGATGTGTTCTAAGGTCTTTTCCAACCATGCTGTGATTCCAGTAGCTGTAATTGTTCATTCATCAAAAACTCTGCAACTTCAAATTTTGTTCTCAAAAACTGAAATGAAACACTGGATTACTGTTTCCATAATAAAGTTATTTTCTTCTGCAAATTTATCCCTTGGCCAACCAAAAACTTAAACAAAAAATAAAAGGAGGAGGAACATAATCAAGCAAAGACTGAGGGGGGGGGAAAAAAAAGGTAGCAATGGAGCTGATAAAAAAAACCATCCACACGGATGAAATATTACATTCAAAAAATGGTAAAATTAAATGCTATAACACTACCAAAACCTTTTAACCTTTTCACTTCAAAGAAAAACTGAAAAAAAAAATGAGCTGATACTAAATTTATATTTTGACGAAATAGCATTTTTATAGAAAAAGCACTCCATCAGAAAATGTTGAACCAGCTGCAAGAGCTTTATCTACAGATTACTGAGAAGAAAGAATATTCTATTTTGCACTGTTCAGATTCAAAAATAAGTGACATTTTACATATTAATTTCTGGCATACTTAGATTACTTCTGTATAAGTCTCTCTTCATGCACAGCCAGCTTACTCTCTGCCATAAAATATAGCCACTTTGCTATATAGTTCAGTTACTTTATCCTGTAAGTTAATAAATGGCTCAGGATGGAGAAATCTTCTGCAAGCACAAAATGGCTTAAGTCCAGCAGACTGATGTGGATGGAACCGTTTTTATTTATTCCGGAGGAAATATTTTCACGATTATATCAACATAGCTGCAGCCCTTTACATTCCTGTTACTTCCCCTGAGCATTTCAGGGTATTACCCATATTTTATGAGTGGTTTTAAGCTTCTGGATACTTTTGAAAGGAATATTCATCTTCACAAAAATCACTTTCTGGTTGCTAGCAAGCTAATAGACACCATTCTTCAAAGTAGAAGACTGAAAAATTTAGGTGAGTATTTTTCTTGAAACAAAGAGAGAGGTAGAAAAATACTTCATTTAAGAATTTACTGCAAATAAATCTTCCTGAGGTTTTAAGCCTAAAAGGTTTAATCTGAGAAAGGTCTACAAAATTCCTCTGGGCCAAATACATAGGAATAACACATCAAGTTAGGAGCAGTGGTACTTGCAAGAAAAGAGGGAATAGTAGCAAGTAGCATTTGTCAGAAATTAACTGCCTGTCAATTCATTAAAGGAATAGTGTTTCTGGCACCAGTCCTAGAGCTCCTTTCTAGCATTGTTCTAAGCTTGGAACATTATGAAAATTCACCTTTTCCACCACCATCCCTACAACTGCACCTACCCATCCTCTGCAGCCTGCTTGGCAAGCCTAAGGGACACCGAAGTCCCAAATCCTTACCTCATGTTGTCTCTCAGCAGTTTGCCTTCCCAGGGCTTCCCAGATCCTCACTCTCAATCCAATCAACTGATAAACTTTGAGGGTAGGGATTGGGAGCCTGGGAACAACTGGAGTTCCAAAGAATATGATTCCCATCTAACCTCTCTGAAGAAGCCCATCCAGTACTTTGCTCTTCCCTGTGAGAGGAAGGAGGACACCAATATGGCAAAGAAAGCCAAATCTGAAATCCCAAATCCAACACAAAATAGTGACCTCACTGTGCCATCCCACATGGGGCTTTCCTGAAATGTTGGAAAGGATGTACACATTTTGAGCAGTCACTGCCAATATCTTTGTTTAGTGCAAAGTTCACAGCTCTGCCAAAGATTTCAGTTTTCTCCAGTAAACAGTGCAATATTGTATCAACAAATCCTACTAATCATCATAAAAAGGATTTACAGCTGCCTCTCTGTGACACACCACAAACTTTCTACCAGTCTCAAAGGCAGGGAATGAAATTAACTCCAGCCGGGCAGCCCTCTTCCAGCTGTACAGCAGGAAAAAACACTCGCCATGCACGTTTCAGCGTCTACTTGTTTGCTGAGCTTGCAGACACACAGCAGCTGGGGAGCAGCTTGGAGGAGGTAGAGGTCCATTAACCAGTTCATTGCAACAGGCAGAGCCAAATGACAAGACAGCAGGCTGGCAGCCTAAACAAGAAACAGCTCTAAAACCCCTCTTCCTGATGACGTTTTAACAGAAAGCAGCTGCTCCCATGTCTTCTTCCTCACTCTGCATTTTCCTCTCATTCTATCTCCACTAAAACAAACATTTGAAGTCGTTACTCTGCTGGCCTTTTTTTTAATTACCTTTTGGATGTTTTATTTGCAGGATGAGTTTAACAAGTAAGAACTCTGCTACATGTTTATCTGAAACAACAACAAATGAGAAAAGCCCAGTGTGAATGACTCAACACTAACTGGGAGGCTTAATAAATACCTATGCTTTTAATTTGATAAATTAGAATAAACATAAATTAATACATTCAAGATGTTTGTCTTTCTATAAATGTGTAGCCACATAAAATATCTCCCCTTCCACGAGCAAAACTGAATATAATAAACTTATTTTTTTAACATCAGTTCATGTATTAATTAAAAATACAAGAAGCTTAAGCCAGTATTGCAAATTCCCAGCACTCAAAAACTCTGCCCTTTGCTGGGATTTTGAGGGTTAACCCAAAACACCTTTCCTGAACAACCACAAACCAATTTTAATACTCAAAACACAGCAGGAATCAACAAAGTCAAGTTGCTGGCTTCTGATATTGAGCTCACATTGCATGCCATCAATAAACTTCATTAACTTGGAAGTAACTTCACACGCCTTCACACAAAGCAATGTCACACCTTAGCTAAATAGATCTGAAGCAATCCTAGATGAGGGACCATGCTCCCAGGGAGCATGATCACTGGCTGAAATGTAGAAATCACCTTCCTAAAATAGCCACAGCTTAGCATTTTAAACATCAAGACGGGTGGCCCAATCTCTCCCCTTGTGTATATCTGCACACTTGAAAAGTGGTCAGGGAAGTACTAACATGCTTACAAACATTTTATGATTTTCGCAACAAAGAAGTAAGAAAGCAGAAGAGGTTGTTTTGTATTGAGACATGAAGATAGAATTTCTTGATGAACATTTAGCCTACTCACCTGTACCATGTTACTATTTAGTATATTATTACTTAAAGTGAGAAGAAGAAAAGGTTACTAACCTGTGGGAAGAGGGAGTAAGTCACATTGTCGATAGTAACGGAATATAAAAATTCCCCGTCAAACCAGAGGTTCTTTCCCATTGGGGAGTTCAGCTTTGTCATAGCAAAGAGTTGTGCAGGGTCACAGCATTCTTCCAGCAGTTTCCTAGTGAAGGCAACCAAAAGAGAAAGGACTGTGTTAATTAGAGCCTTGGCACACCTTCTCTAATGACCACCCATCACACCTGAGATCCTGCTGCTCTCAGATGGTCCAAAGCAAGCCATTCATCTTCCCAGCCAATGGATGCACCATGAGTGACTCTATTTTACTTACAGAAGGGCCAGAAAGCCTGATTTTATCTCAGAAACCCTTAGAAACAGACAGTGAAAAATTTAAACCTCCATTCACTTTTGAGTGGCATAGGAACAGAATGAAGATTCAGCAAAGGAAAATTCCTCCTTTACAACCTGTTCTAAGGAATAAAGTACTGATCACCAACACATACAGAAATCAGAGAACTCTATCGAAAATCAAGCTTGAGCTATATGAAAATTCAGTACCAAACCTTAATCATGAAAAGCAGGCTTCCTAAAACCCCACAATTACCTAACTTCTGCATGGAAAATTTTGGCATCTCTTTCCAGTTACTAAATATCCTTATGCTACATTTACAGCAGTATTAGAGCCTGCCTTCTAACTGAAGTACGACTTGAGTCATCCCAGTATGACAGATATATATATATATATAGTTAATATTATACTTCTCGTTTCCTCAATTAAATGGCATATCCTCTTACACATTCGTTTCCCCAAAATACTTATTACTCAGCTCACCTAGAAATTTGAGAGCTGGTAAGGTTGTTGAAAGTTGTATTAAGCAAAAATTCTGTATCACAGCAAACTCAGCAGCTAACATCCTAAAATACAGAATGACAAAAAGCACTAGACATCTACTGGACAGGAACATCCTATCTTTCCGAACCCCATATAGAAGTAGCTCTCTAAAGAAAAAGCGACACTCACATGAGCTTTTATACATAGCAGACATATGTAAAATATATGTTGCAGAATGATGTCATTACAGCATAATAATATATACGTTTTTCATTTATTTTAACAAGAAGCCTAAAGAGACTGATGCCATTTCTAGCAGCTGCATAAGAGTTGCAAATGGAAGGCAGAAAAACATCAGTTATTAGTAACTACTAAAATGCTCAATATAGCTGTTCTCTGTGAAAGAGGAGATCTTATTTAAACCCATGAAATCATTCACAGAAGTGCATACATTTTTTAGCTTTGTTTAAAAGTTTTCACTGTAATCTTAGCAGAAGAGGAAACAACTCAGAGGAAAAAACAAACTAGGGTTGTCAGTGCTATTTGTTAGCTTTCCTCACTGGGGAAGGTCAGTGATTTGCCATGGTTCAGCTCCAGGCAGCTGCCCCCACCAATACCATAAGCCCCTGGGACACTTCCTTACATAGAGGAAGGCTCTCAAGGAACGGCAAGGATGTAAGCATGGGGAAATGGGATGGAGGGAAGGAGGTCCACTCCTCTCCTGAAACAAGTACCTGAGAGAAGCTTTTGCATATGACATGCAGGTAGATTAAATTGTTAAAAGGAAGTAAATTACACGAGATAACTGGGGACCATATTGTGTTGTAAGCCAAAAGTCATATTCCATGAAGAGCCGTGAGGTGAGCTCTCATCCTGTAACAGACTGAGCAACCCCTCTGTCCCCACAGACAGTCTAAGAGGTGAGTGATTTTTGTGAAGACTTTTATATATCAGAAGCTTATGACAGACAGCTTCATGACTCAAAATGTCAATATTTTGTTCATTTGACCCTGCCGCACTGCACTGCAGAGCGTGATGCTCCATCACATATCCAGACTTTACATTGTGAGGGTTCAGGGCTTGTAACTGCAGAGCATGCTGCTACTCAGACAGCAAAGAGGATATGAGGGTCTCTCTTCACAAGGAGCTACATGGAGAAGACAAGGGGCAATGGGTACATGTTGCACTGGGAGAGGTTTCATCCTGATATAAAAAAAAAAGAAATTACAGTGAGAACAATCATTCCCTGAAACAAGTTCCCCAGGCATGTGGTGGAGTCCCCATCAGTGGAGGTTTTTGAGATGCAACTGGACAAGGCGATAGATAATTGTATCTAGGCTCCATTTCCCACTGAAGGTTGGACCATGTAATCTTTCAAGGGCCCTTCCCATTTTGATGGTTCTGCGATTCTGGAACCGTTTTTCCCTTATACTACATGTTGCAGAGCTGGTTTGCCTCCCTCTGAGCACAAAAATATGTTAGCCAGAGCAGCAATTTCCATTCCTAGAAACACCAATGGGTCTACCTATATCGCCCACAGAAAGGCTTCACATCATCCTCCTGCTGATGCCCAAATAAAGCCTTCATCATAGAACTGTGAAAACCAAACTAGAGGAAACTTGAAATCTCTTGCCAAATAACCTTTGCAAAACAGCTTAAGATAGGCATGGAATATTGTTCTAAATAAAAGATTTGAGAGTGGAGATTTTTCTGGCTGTCCACAAGCTCCAGTTCACAGCCTTTGGAAGATTATTTCAACTCTGTCAAGTAGAAAGAAAATTTTTGTCAGTCTTTCTCCTCTTCTTTCTATCCCCACAGCAACATTTTCAAGAAAGCATAAAGTAATCCAAGATCAGCTGGAGCCTCAATTCTTCATATAGTTGTTATACAACTGTATAACAAAATTTCCAAGTGAAATCCTGCAACTCATACCTTCTCTGGAAGTCTGGTCTGAGCAAGAAGCACAAAAATAACACATAACTGAGTGGAAAAGCATGTAGGGAATGGCTTAAATTAATGAATCCTCCTTAGCCAGCATAAACTAATGAGCTAAGGAGCAGCCCTCTGTACAATTAGAGTAGATATATATATACCTACTCTTTCCCTTCTCCAAAAATGCATTCTTCTGGCTCCCGTTCATCAATAAACTTGTTATGAAAAGCAGTAGGTGCCTCCTGGAAGGTCCACTAGTTCAAGTATGCATCTGTATGTATTAGCACAAAAATATTGTGCACTCACTTGTGCTTTCTGTCAGAAAAGAAAAATTATTAAAAGTCTCACATTATTCAGTCTCTCTTTCTGATCCAAATACCAACATCATAAAGTGGGAAAAGCTCCATGGGAAAACGTACATTAAACAGCAGAATGAATTTGAAGGCGAACCTAAAGCTGAATACTTTGCAGGATCAGGGAGTCTGAACTGATTTTGCCAAGCTTGACTAAAATATACAGCTGAAATGTTATGATAGAATTTGCAAAACTGTAGCAGCTTTTAGCAAAGGGCTCCAATTCACTACAAGCATTCCCTCACTCAAGAACATGATATGCATTTGACTCAAAGCAGTTCAGCAGAGACCTGCGTATGAGAGGAGTTAGCAACATGAACGTCGGCATTGAGAACACACTAGGGGCTCTCAAATCTGAGAGCACTTAAAGGGTAAATCCCTACTTGTAAGAGAAGCAGGCGTAAAGTTACTTTGAGAATCCCACTTCAGATCTCTAAGATTTCAGCAGGAACTGGGCACCAAGCAGATTGTTAAGTACAAGGCAGCACTAGCACTGAAGTGGCTCTGCACAGCAACTGAAGCAGCAACCTATGCACAAAACAGGAGCTGGGCAGCAGTTCTGAGATGTTAGCCGTATCCCCCGTGGCACGCATCACTGAGGTTATCTCAGCAGACATTGCACACTGAAAGAAGGAGAGTGAAATAGTTGGTGCCAAGTATCCTAGATCCGTATTACCTCATTTTCATGGGATTTACTGCTGACTAACTCTGGTCTGATTTCACAAAAAACCCTGTGAGTGGCTGTAGCACACAGAGTGCATTACTGAAGTGCAGTAACTAGGGATAATTAGGAGATTTGCCTCAGAAGACCACTTCTGACCAAAAGGGTGATACAGATGCACCCTCCTCCATCTGAAAACAGAGAGAAAGCCAGACCTCCTTGCAAAGCCTAAACCTAAATTCATACTTAGAGTCAGTGAAAGAGCTTGCATAAAAACCCCAAACTACTTAACCTTAATCTTAAATTAATAAAGTTTTCAGATACAAAATGACCTCTCTGTTATTATTCATATGTCCCAAGTCCAGGGCCAAGGCACACTTAACTGATTTAACTATTAAGCCCTCTTTCATTGCCAATAATTCCCAGGAAGGAGTCATCCATCTACAACTGCAACCTGCACACTGGTTTGCTAAATGGGTCTATTGAAAAATGGGAAGCTTAGCAGGAAACCCAGGCTGCTCTGTCTCCTGGGCCTGTCCCCTGGATCAGTTGCTGTCCTGCTCCTTTTCTCATCTGAAAAATTTATCAGTAATATTTTAATGTTGTCTTGCAGATAGATCACTGATTAAAAGAAATGCAGAGGATCAAGAATTAATACTAGTTTAAGCTCTATCTAAAATTAAGACCTTTGCCAAAACCAGCATCGAAATGAAGACATTGCTCTGCTCAAGTTCATTTCTAAAAACCCCCAGTTAGCTAAGCTTGAAGAATAGGTCTAAATACGATGAAAAAGAAATATGAAAAAGAAGGGACACTGCAGAGCAGGACAGAGAATCTGATCTAGTTCCCAGTCGACCTTTCTGCAAGATGATAAAATTTTATGAAGACTAAAGTCATGACAGTTTTTCTCCTTACATTTATTATGTTGCTGTTTCTGTTTATTAAACTTTCAGCATGTTTCAATGCCTCCTGCAGCAATTCCTGGTGTCTGGACTTTACAAGGATCATGTGATATTTACCCTATCTTCCTCAAAAGAGGAAAGAAATCAGGACAATAAAAGGTCATAGGCAGAAGCAAATCATGTACTGAACTGCCTGGTGCTGCAACATCCATGAACGGAAACAGATTGCAGAGACCATAGATGCTTCTCAGAGTAAGGGCAATTCATGAAAACCACCCTCCTTGGCTTAGCAGCACAGCTGTATGTGACTTTTTGAAGTACGAAATTTTAACTGTAAACTGCTGGATGATTTGCCATAAATTGCCAAATAGTTTGTGGTGGAAATTCTGAAATCAAGCACTCTCATCTTTTCTGCATCATTGGTATCTTTTCTTTAGAACCTTCTTCCAGGTCTTTTTGAAGTGCCCAAAAGGGAAATGAAGT